TAGAAATAAAATTTAATTTGACCCAAAATTAAAGGATTCGGCCAAATTATCGTCATCATCATCTGATCCTGGTAACAAAGGGAATGTTATTACTGTAATAAAATGGGACATTGGACTAGGAATTTCCCAGAGAAAAGCAAATCGGTAAAATGTTATAATTGTGGGAAAGAAGGTCATATATCAACCCAATGCTGATGGTAACCAGTGGCAGTAGTACAAAGAGAGCAACTACCACAGCAACAAGGAAGGAACTACCAGCAAAGGACAAATAATAACCAACAACAGCCTAGAAGGGTCCTATTGAATCAGGAATATTACGAAGAGCAACAGGAACCACAATATTATACTGAATATCAGCCACAAATGGTATACTACCAAAATCAACCACCTATACAAAACTATCAACAACAATTGCCACCATAACAACCTATACAACAACAACAGCCACAAACAGATGTATTTAGAGCTTTAACCACAGCTGTGCACCAGCTAACTTCCAAGCTCGAAACTTTAAAAGAGTAAATTCACCCCTGGAGGGCAGGGTGGTGCTTTGGAAGAAAAGAAAGCCCCAGATAAGAAGATAGATGCCATAACTAGCAAAGTCCTCATAAATAATATAGAAACAGAAGTTGTGATTGATACAGGATCAGGGCTGAGTGTTATTACAAAACAATATTTAGATAGGTTGGGAAAAGGCCCTATAAAAAATTTGGTACGGAAAATGTATGGAAAAATGCAAATTTCAGATAAAATTCCATGCAAATTCTGTACAGTTTTCCATACATCTCCATGCCAAATTTTTTATAGGGAGGGATTGACCAAGAATCCTACTCCCAGCTAATAGATGTAAATGGAAATAAAACAAGACCATTGGGAATAGCCAAAGGAATATTAGTAACCCTTAATGGGAAAAGACCAATAAACATAAACATGGTAGTATTAAAAGCAGATAACCATAATGTGATATTAGGAAATAATTGGCTTAGCTGCCATTAATTTTAAAAAGAAGATACTTGAAGCTAAGGAAAACAGTAAAGCTATACAACACCCAATTTTATTTGAAAAAGAGCCAAAGGAAGTAATACTTGAGGGAAATGAACTATATGAAGATGAAGTATTACAGGAGGAAGCAGCATATTTTGTAAAGGGCATGGGAGGAGAATGAAAGGAAGAACCAGTACTGACCATTAAAGGAGAATCCAATCTAACAAAAGAACACGTTTTCTTCAATCCATTTATACATATAATTAAATCTTTATCGGAATGAATTAACAATCAATTATATTGTGAGTTTTTGTAAATAAAATTGTCCGCTGCCATTTTAGTAGAAAATAAAATTACAGTGAGTAAATAGTTTAAAAACGAAAGGGCAAAAAATATTATATCTTTGGTAAACTTAAGTCAGATGAAATTGATTTGTATTTTAGTCATTCTAATTTTCTAGATTCGCGAAAAGAGTTTTCTCGGCTAGTAATAAACAAAATTCTTTCAAAAAAAATCCCATCATAAATATAGACAGAAAAAAATTAAAAGCATTTAAACTTCTATATACACCGATATTTTTAAGTAAAATTAAAAATTTAAATAAAATATACAAATATCTCTGAAATTATAAACCTAATGATATGAACTACGTAATTTTAAAAATTTTAAAATTTTTTCAAGGTATTTTTTAGAAATCAAATTAGATGGCTTTAGTTCTTTTTCTAATATTTCTCTTGAAGACGCTCCTGCTTCATTGATCGCAGGAAAAATCCCAACATATATCATATAATTTATTCTCAATGCACATAATTTATCTACGTAGATTATAAACTTATTCCCTTTTTTTTCTAAATAGTTAATTTCCGAATTTTGTCTTTTACTGTTTACGTTAAATTCATTGCACATAACAATAAGTGCAAAGAAAACGCCGGCCTTTCTTTTGTCCTTGAAATCATCCTTTTCTAAAGCACTAAACACATTCATTAACTTCCTAATAACAATTGTCTGATCAACTTCTATAACACGTTCATTTTCTTTAATATTCACATGACCATCATTTTCTTTTTTATCATTTTCATATAAATAAACATAACCAAAAGAATAATCTACTATTAAAAAGTAGAAATAGCATAAAATTTGTTTATCCTTATTTACTACTGATTCTTCACCTTCAAATACTTCTAATAATTTGAATAATTTTTCTCTTATGTCTTTATTAATTTCTTTGTTATAGTCGTGCCATTTTTGATAAATTTCTTTAATAATTTCCACATCTTTCAAAGCAGCTTCTGCATAATATTTTAACACGCCTTTTTTTTCATCAAGATCCCATATTCCAGAAATGGTTCTAAAAAGAAAATCCTCGTTAAGATTTTGAGACTTTTCTTCTAAGATACTCTTAAACTTTGACTCAATTTCGAGATTTGTTTCCATCACGAAAAATTTTGTTGTGAAAAAACAGATTTAGAATATAAATTTATTCTGAAAAAGCTTTAATTTATATTATTACAGAAAGACCAAACAATAAAAAAATAGTATTGTTTTTTTGGAAACTCTATAGGACAAATTTAATAATTCTTTGATGAGAAGATTAGTATTGTTTCTTATCAAAAGGATTCTGATTAATTATCATGAAGTCGAATTAAAAGTCAAAATGTATTATATAATCAGAATTGTTTTGGATAGTTGAAAATATACATGAAGCCAAAATGATTTAATTTGCCTTTGGACATTTTGATTTCATGGTATAATGTTAATATTAACAATCGAGGAATTTTTATATATAGTAATAAATTAATTGTGATTTGAAAAGAGAAATTAATTGTATATAGTGGATTTTATTTGCTTTTTCAAATTATCAAGCTTGTGACTTATATTAATTTCTAAAAAAATAATATATCCAAAAATCAAATTATTTTGTGATTGTTTTTATTGATCTTGGCCTCCTTCTCGAAATGGTTTTCTTTTCAATAATCAATATTATCTTATCAATTTTCTTCTCGAAAAATGATAATTTTAATAGAATCATATCAGAATCATTAAACATATTTTCATCAATTTCTAATACTTTTCTAATTACTTTATCTTCTGAATCAATAATAAAATCAAAAAAAGCGTCCCAATTAAAATTATTTTTATTAACAAAATATGTATTGTTTATATTTTCTTCATGTGCAATTAAACAGCATTTAATTTTTTTTAAATTAACTTCATTAAACATTTGTTCTAAATCTCTCCCAAAGTTTTTTAACATCTTTAATTATTTACAATTTTTTTATGTATTATATTTATTAATACAATACATTTCTATTTTAAAAAAAATAATTATATTTATAATACAACTAATTATTACTGTTACAATTAAAATATTTATATGTCCAAAGGTAAATTAAATCCAATTCTTTTTTTATTTTAAGAAATAGAAAAAATTCGCATGGTGTTAGGGTGGATGAGGTAGTACAGTTATTTTATTTTCCTCCAAAAATTCTGTATTTTGACTTCATGTAGATTTATGTTTTTCAGCAACCACGGTTTACATTATTAATATTAACATTGTATACCAATAATTTCAGGGATCAAAATTTAGTCATTTGTAATAATGCGGTATGTAAGAACACATAAAAATACTCAGAATATATTACTAAAAATGGCTAGTGAGTTTCCTTTTTGGGCCATTTTTTTTAAAACCCCAATTTTTATTATGTAAATTCTTGAAGATCTTACTGGTGTTTTAACGAGATCACTACCCATCTTTCTCAATACCAGTTCAATTATAATTGTCCAAGGTCCTAATGTGATCATAATATGGGGCATGCTGCAACAAAACCAGACAAAGTGAACATTGGTATTACCAAATTTCAGGGATCAAAATTTAGTCATTTGTAACATGATCATAATTAACAGTTTTATAATATCCCATTTTCTATCTTGAGTGATATATGGAACTGACCCCATATAAAAATAATAAAAATTTGCTTAGAATTAAATAATATTTACTGTTATTTTTTTTTGTATATTAAAAAGGTGGTGGTGATTATTAACCTGTTGCTTGCTACTCTACTCTATTTATATAGATAAAAAATAAACACGACTTAGCTTTTTTGTTGTTATTAATACTTGTACATGAATACCTGATCATTCAATACATTTTATGTTGTAATTGACATAATAAATAATGGCATCATGTAACAATTTACTTTGTATATAGTCATATACAACGTCTTGTGTAATACATCAATAATAAGGGATTGATTCTTGTACAACCCATATACACACATAAAAAAAATTTGTGTATATATGTACATCCATTAATTTTTTTAAAAAAAAATGTATACATCCATTAATTTAAATAAAAAAATGCCCAAAAAACAAATCAAAAGAACAAAAAGAAAACAAAATAATAATTGAAAAAAGGCTCAGTTCAAGTAAGTGTTATTTATTATATAGTTTCAAATTTAAATTTCATGCATGTCAATTTTAAATTCTCACAATTTGATTTTCACACACAACATGTCAAGTGGTAATAACTATGGACTATTAAATTCTGATGACAATGACAATGACAATGATGTAACATATCATTATGAATCCAGTTCAGATGACACCAATGATACATCTAATAAAATGAAAAAAAGAAATATAGATATGAGTACTTTGTAGGTCCTGGTGACAAAAAATATTCTTAAATGAATATGAAAATGTAAAACATTTAATGTCCAGAATTTTGGCTCAATTAGATGAGTTGATCTCCAAAAATAATTTAAACTAAAAAACTTTTACATTTTTATACATAGTGGATAATAGGATCAAATAATATTTCGAATATTCTAGTTGGTTATAGAAAATCCTCAGTTGCCTATGCAGAAAATGATACAATTGATGGTGTTTCTGAAACATTGTGAGTATTAAATTTTTGGGTGTGTTTAAATTTGTGTGTTAAGCATAGCTTATTTATTTTTTAATTTATGGAATTTCAGATTCTTGAATTATATTCTTGCTGAAACCAAATAAACATGATAGCATACAACAATATGTTGGTTCTGATCTATTTAATAAAAATATTTAACCAAATAAACACAGAATTTCTTAAACATTATCTTTCACCTGGAGTCTTGAATCTTTGTCGCAATCTAGATAGAGTAAGTTTTTTTTTTGAATAATCATATAGAAACACCACAATTTCCTTAATATTAATGGCATTTTGTTCAATAAGATTTGTAGAAAAAGTTACCTTGAATGTAGACAATTAATTAAAAAATGGAATAAGGATAAATGATAATCCCACAGATGATGAGAATTTAGTCATTGAAGCCTATGATGTAATGTAAGTTTTGCAAATATACTTGAATGTGTCATATTATTACCCATTTTTACCAAGTTATACACTTGCTGTGTAAGGTTTCTGGTCGAAACTGTTTCTATTAGTAGCTGAAATTGCCCAAATACTTTGGGCAAAAATTAATTTTTTTATAAGCCCAAACTACTTTTTATTATTAGCTGAAATTATTTTAAAGTTGTTTAAGTTAAAACAAGTTAATTCATATAGTTTTTTAATGTTCATGCTTATAGAAAATGTTGAGAAGCCCAAATTTCCCAAACTAGTTTGGGCTTTGAGAAAACAGTTTGGACCAGAAATCTTATTGCTGTGTAAAAACACCAAAAAATTGACCCCTGATAATACAATAGAGAAGGAAGATACATTTATACATAAAACTGTAGAACCTGTTCTAGATGTATTTTTTGAAGGCAACAACACTATTAAGTGCTCTTGGTAAGTATTCTTTCTGTAATTTGCATCTGTTGTGGTAATAATTATTGATAATGTCAATGTGCTTTTTTTTAGGTCAAGCAATGCCTTAGATGATCATATCAGAAAAAAAATTTTGATCCAATTATGACAGGGAGTAAAGACTAGTGCTGTAATCCAAAAAAAGGAAAAAGTATGGTTGCAAAGGTAATTGCAACCACTTTTTATATGCTGTAAATATAATTACCACCATCATCATAATTTACAGCACTAGTCTTTAACAGGGAGACAACCTGGCTTTTCTGTTTATTCATTATTTAAAAATACAAAAAGGCACTTATTGGTAATTGAGATTAAACCTAAGAATGAAGATTGTAATAGTGATCTGGTGAAATTAGCAAATGAGATGAAGGATATCATAGATAAATACATAGATGATAATATAATTGGTAATTTGTGGTGTTCATATAGAAGGCAAGCAATATATCATGCGTCTTTGGATAAATAAACGTTTATTAATGAATACAACCTAACCTGTGCTTTTCTTGTCTACCTAGGTAATCAATGTAGTGTTTATGCAATGGATTTAAAATATGATGGTATTTATTATTATAGACTGATTTTGTTGGATAAGTTTTTTTTACCACGAAATTGTTATGATCTCGGTGTAATCCCAGCATCAATTGAAGCATTAACAGTAGTCAAAGTCAGTGTAATGCAGTATAATTAAAATGACAATATTACATTCTATATTAAATAACCTAATCTTCATTTTTTATTATTTTTTATGATAGTATATTGTCATCAAATCTGCAAACATAATTCTTAATAACTTGAGAAATCCAACAAATGGAATTTCCACAAGTAGAAAAAAAAAGACAAGGGAATCATTCCACGCTCCAATGAAAATACCTGTCAATTAAATAATTTTATGAATTTGATAGTTTGCTTCAAATTGTACATGTATGCATTTGATTTATGACATTGTTTCATCTTTATTATCAGATATTTAATGAGTAAAATAAAAAATAGAGTTTTATATCATTGCTATGTGTTTGGCATTAGGATGTGACAGAAATCAGGTGATCTATGTTTAAGGATAGGAAAACAAATTTACTTGTTATTGAAGAACTACACTTTCACAATATAAATTTAAAGTTTATTAGGGAGCAAGAGTTACAGAGAAAACATTCAACCTTAATAGGCAATAATTACAAAATTGAGATTACAAAAAGAAAACTTAGAAGTAGTAAAGTATAAATTAACTAAGGGAAAAGAAAGAATTGAAAAAGATTATAAAAACCTTGAAAATAACATTGCTGAATTAGTTTCAAAATATTATGAGCCAACTGATGAAGAAATAAAAACAGATAAAGATAATTGAAAAGAAGAATTTATTAAATTAACAATTATACCATCTATAAATTCATCTGTTATTGGACATTTATTCTTAATCAACTCCACTAATTGTATAATTCTTGATTATTTTCAGGTGCTGGAATTTCTTTTACTACCATAATATATTATTTTAATACATTCATGAAAGTTTTATGTTGGTTTCAGACAAGTAATATCTTTAAATCCATCCTTTACCAATGGACAGATATTGTTATAAAGTTGTTCTTGCCTCTTCTAATCCAGATAAGGGGGTGTTAAGACTAAAATAAATAGTCTTAATTTCTTCAAAAATACCTGCTTTCCTAGTTTTCAATAAATTGAATTCATTAGCAACCTCCTGAGTTTTGACCACACCAGGTTTAGATGCTTCAAAAAGAAAATGTTGATATCTTTGCAAATAAAAATGACCTAAACAAATCATTCTATAAATTGCATCAAATTTCAAATCCATAAAAAAAGGTCACATTGAGTACCTAATTAATTATAAAAGTAGTGAATTCCTGAATTGGAAAGAAATGTACCTATAATTAAATATTTGCCTCGCACCAGAATACCACACACCAGGGTTGGAAAATGTGTGGCCCATTTATGGCCTATTGGTGGTCCATTGTGTTCATTAGTGTAACACTTTAACCATATTTAATATTTTATTAATGGTAGTGGATCAGTCCAAAGCCCATCAGTTCTCAATGGACCAGTCAATTTGCCAACCCTGCCACACACTGCCACATTTCCATCTACACTGTCATCTATAGCCTTATCAATTGCATCCTTCATTTCATTGCCTAATTTAACTAGATCACTCCATAACTCTTGACCTTTATTTCTTGGTGGTTTAAATTCTGCTATTAGTAGATGTGCTTTATGTTTATATGCAGACATGTACACAGAGAAGTCTGGCCATCTTCCTTCAAGGCAAGGGTCAAATTTTTGTTTTCAATGTGATGAAGCATTCAATGAATTACTGGACCTGGCATTATCTATTTAATAAAATACTATCATAGCATTTGAGGAAGAAAAAATTTTAGAGAATAATTACAATTTGCATTCAAGAAATTCAGTATTAATGAATGTTGATGAGAGCAATGATGTGATGAAAATGTATCCTCATTTATATTATTTGCGCTTCTTTTTAAAGAAAGCTGATTTAAGCAGAGAATAAAAATATGTTAAATATTGATTTTCAATTTCCAAACAAGCCTAACAAGGTTATTATAAGCTAGCAAAACATGGCTTACATTGCATCAAGTACCTTCAAATCAACATCATCTGTAACTGTGCACTGCAAATCCTTGATCAATGATTTGGATTCCTTTATGTTTTTTCTTGTTGTCTAGTTGTATCAAGAGTCAAGGATATTAGCAAAGGAAACCTATAAGTCCAAATAATATAAACAACTACCCTGGAAATCTGGTTGCACTTCAAGACTTCATCATTTGATAAATGTGTAACAGTAAAATTTTCTCTAAGCTCTTTGAACAGTGAACTCCATAGTTATGGGTCAAATTGTTATGGACACCAAAAATGGATCTTCCTCTTCAAACAAGTAAATACAGTTTAGTGATCTACAAAAGAAAAACTGATGAACCACACTAATATAGAAAATTTTAAAGCCAAGAAATTTAATAAGAACAATACTCACAATTTTTCAGCAAAGATAAAGGTCAATGTTGTGGAAGCCTTGTCAACAGATGACTTTCTGTAGTCAAGAAGCATGCATGACATAATGCACCCACAAATTATCCATTAAAGTATTCCAAGTCAAAATTGACGATTAAAATGATTATTTAGTTCATAATCATGATTGTATAAATAGTCCCACTGGTAGAAAAACAATTAAATGAGATACAATACATCAATAATAATGACATATGCAACATCAAAAGAAACTTACATCAGCAGATTCTAATGACCAAATTTTCCCTCTGCATTGTGAAACTATGTTATTTTCCCAGAAGTCTGTGACCCCTACAGAGCTTTTCATATTCTTACAAGTCAATAAATAAAATTGTGAAAAAATTGTGAAAAAATTAAAGAATTGTTAGTATCTTTGTGACAATTACAATAAATGCAAGTGCTATTGGCAAACAGCAGCATGACTTGTCAGTTAAACACTGTATAACTTATTCTATTCACTAGTGTGTGGCTGCAATAACATGTCAGTCTACCAAGGAACACTATCATTTTTGATGATCTCTTGGCCTGTCAACAGCAACATTGCATAGTCTGCCAATAAACTGCCACTAAACTTTTTGGTTGTCACTGTGTGACTCTTCAGTAGGACTTCTATTTGAATAAGGTTTATTCAAATAAGAAAATTAATTTGAATAAGAAAATTAATTCGAATAAAAAAACTAATTCAAATAAAAACTATTTGAATAAGAAAATTAATTTGAATAAGGAAATTAATTTGAATAAAGCAAATAATTCAAAAAAATTAATTCGGATAAAACAAATAATTAAGGACCAGTTTAAATTCAAGCTCACTAGAAAGATTGCTATTTATTAAAAGAAACATGAATCTTGTTTCAGTCTTTCCCTATTAGTTTCATTTTAATTTCAATTTTTATAATAATAAAATCAATATTAAACCTTGTTGTATATATAGTTTGAATATTTAAGTAATTGAAAACCATGATTCCAAATAAACTAATAAAATGAATGAACAAACCCAAGATTCCAATAATTGAATAGATCAAATAAAACAAATAATTTGAATAAAATGAATTAAATTTTTAATTCAAATATACTTTTTAATTCAAATAAACTTTTTAATTCAAATAAAACTTTTTAATTTGAATAAATCTTTTAATTTGAATGAATTTTTTTAATTTGAATAAATTTTTATTTGAATAATTAATTTGAATTAAAGGTCAACTGTATTACAAATAATTTGAATAAGAATTTGTATTACGAATAGAAGCCCTACTCTTCAATTAACTAGTGTTGTAGCAGCAATAACATGTCAGTCTATCAGTTTCCTGACCTATCAACAGACTTAGTAAATAATAAGAAAAAATCACTATTTCTGACCTGCCAATCTTCCAAAATTTGTGCTGCATTTTTGGCACCATTTCCTCTCACACCTTTAGAAATATCCTTTAAAAATCACCATGTTTTCTGACCTTGTTTGAAAAATTGAGAACTGTGATTGCTGCTGGAGAAATCCAATTAATGACCATTCATCTGAATATTGTCAGGTCAAAGTACATCATTTTATCCTAGGTATTCATGATAAAAAGGAAAAGACTTTTTTGTCAGGTGTACTCTACCATACAAGCCATCAGACAGAAAATACATATTTATAGTGTTCACCTGTAAATTGCCATTTGGCTTTGCCATTTTTTAGCAAAATCTCTTAGACATAACAATAACATTTGATTTTATTGGCTGAACTCTGCAAAATTAAATAAATTTTATTGGCTTGAAGATCATTATGCAATTTAAAATCTGACGTGGTAATTAATAGTCACTCTTTGTTTAATATTATTTTGTAAGGGAATATTAAACACCAAGAGATGGTTGTAAAATAAATATCTGGTCTTTGCACCATCTTGATCAATAAAGGTTATGACTCATTGGATCAGGAAGATCTTTGAAATTGAAAGTAAATGCGACAATTTATTTTAATAATAATGATGATAAATAATAGGTATCATTATTAAATGTTGAATTCTTTCAATATTCACGTTGTAACATAATTCGTTTTTCAAGTTCCAATTTATTTTTTCTTTTTATACATAAACTGTTCTTCTCTTAATATTTTTGCATACATAATTATGTTTAAAAGGCTATTATCTAAAATCAAGAAAAAAAAAAACAAGAAATTCAATAAAGTTAACTTACTTCTCATTCTTTTCTTTGTAAATATTGAACACCTTAAACTATTCCTATATAAACATTAATGCTGATACTAAGTTATTTTGGCTGTTCAAGACATTTTTATATTTCTTTATTTATTTAAAACTTTTTTTCTAATAAAATCTAAAATTCAATAAGAAAGTAATTGATCATTTTTTATTATTATCTATTTTATGGTAAATCATGGCTGCATGAGGAGTAGGCGGTTTGCAGCTACAAATCCTTTGTTCTTATTTTTGACTAAAAACAAATTTCTAGGTTATAAAAGTTTTATAATTTAATTTATATAATATATATATATAACACTTCTAACTATTATTATTATTATTATTATTTATTAATTGCTATTATTATTAATATTAATATTGATTAAATATTTCTATTTAGGCTTTTATTCCATTCTAATGATAACTACCTCTTCTTTCACCTTCTCTCTTACTGTTTCTGTAGTAATTATGTTGAAGTTTAATCTTGAAGATTTTGTTGAAATTTCAGATTTTAAATTAAAATTGTTATCAACACCAACATTAATAACATTCTTTTTATCGTTTTTACTTTGAGTGATATTTTCTGACTTGATATTCGGTGACATGGATAAATAATAATCAATTTGCCACATAAATGGTTTGTAATAGTAAGATGATATTTCACTAGAAACTGGTAGATCATTAAATGCATTATTAGATTTATCATCAGTTTCAATTCCAATCTTATTATTCAATGCCAAGTTTGTTTCCTCTTCTTTTATTAAAGGTGATTCAAAAGATTTCAAGACTTCTGCTTTTATAGGTGTTGATTCTAAATCTATAGATGCTGTTGCTATTGTTAACGACTTTGAATCACTAATATTTATTTATATTTAGAATTTGTCTTTATTAGCGAGGAAAAGTAAAACAAATAATAATCAAATAAAAATAACAACCGTGTTATTATTTTTATTATTACCTGCGATAAGGTGATGAATGCGATTTAGATTTTTCTTTAACAATTTTGGGCATTTTATCAAATTGTTATCAGTTATCAGTTATACATGTATTATTCTATAAAAAAATATTATTTGTGTGTACAATCTATCTTTGTAAATCACATGATTGACATAATAACAATAGATCAAATTATTTTATTCCTTTGATTTCTTTTAAATTTTTTCTAAACATTTACCATAATATCTATTATAGTGTTGATGGTGGTATATTAAGTTTTTTGTATACGAAAACATTACATATATTTTTATTTATTTATTCATTAAAATAAAAAGTCATATTTACAAAGTTTGAAATATAAAATTCTTCATTTACCTTCATTCACCTCACTAATCATAAAAATAGTAAACATAGTAACAGTCATATTCATCATAAACATAATAATGGAAGAACAAATAGAACAAGCTGTTTCCTTTGCATTAAGCCCAGCTATGGATCAAAGCCTGAAAACTCGGGTTAGTTGATTATATTTTTGCTAAATGCTTTTAAGAAAAATAAAAGATTTTTTAATTATTCATTATACAAATCACCATAACAGCTTAGTTTTATTAAAGGTCCAAAAGATCAATTAATTTGTTAGTTTGCTAAATTGATTGAAAAATCAAGAGTTTCCATAATAATAATATTTATTTTCTTTAAAGGAGGAAAAAATAAAAAAAATAATTTAATAATACTTTTTGATATTTATTTATAAGAAAAGCTATATATATAATAAGATAAATAAAATTGAAGAAAGTCATTTAATAATCCCCTTTCAATTATTGCTTTCAAAAAAAAAATCATTTTAAATTTATATTTTAGGCAATGAACTTTTGTGAACAAATCAAGGCATCTCCAGATGGGTGGAAATTGTGTCTTTCATTGTTCGTACGTTTTCCAAAAAGGTTTTGTGTCGAACTTTTTTATAATTCTTTTTTTTCTTTCCTTACTTTAACAATGATCACACAAATGTTTTCTTTTTTTCTTGTCCTCTCCACAAATATTCATGTTTTTCATTTTAGCCGTTTTATCTACTTTGAGTATTAATAGAATTAGGATTTAGTGAAATTTTATTGTAACTTATTTTTTATTAACATCATAGTCACCTTTCATCCTCTTCTTTTAATATATATATCTGCATGCTCAAAAATCCATTTTATCTATTGATTGTTTACTTTGGTTGATTATGTCTTTCTGTCTGTCCATCTGCCTTTTTTATTCTCATCTTCAGTACTCCGGAGGCTCGTGTTTTTGCTTTACAAGTTTTAGATGATGTTTTACAAAACAGGTATTGTTATTAAAATTTAAAAAATTCTATATTATATTTATATATTTATATTGATACTTACGTATTTAAATATTTATATATGCGTATATTCATTCTATTTATTTATTAATAACATTTCTATCTTGATTATTTTGATCAGATTTACAACACTAGATTCTTCTCAAATTATTCAAATACGTTCTACTTTGATGGAATTTTTTAAACGAGAATATGTTGTTGGCGATGTAAATGATGAACCACAATGTAATTATATAATTGTATTTATATATTTATAATTTTCATGGAATATTTTTTTAATTCATTTATTTTTTTTTATAATTAGATCTAAAAAATAAATTTGCTACTACATTGACTTTATTGTTTGTTCAATTATATCCATCAAATTGGCAAAATTTCTTTGACGAGTTTCTTTTATTAATCCAATCAAATAATATTAATATTAATGGTGAAAGGAAAACAAATTCTCGTACTGTTGATATTTTTTTAAGAATTTTATTGTCAATTGATGAGAAAGTTGCAAATATTGCTATTTCGAGAGGAAAAGAAGAAGCCATTAGAAATACAACAATAGTAAGTTCTCTTGAATGTAAATATATCTATTTATATATATGTTATATAGTTAATCAATTTTATAATTTAATCATTTGTCAGAAAGACAATATGAGGGCAGGTGATATTCAAAAATTAGCAACCATTTGGTATGAAATTTTGAATGATTATCGTTTACAAAATCAAGATATTGCACAAATGTGTTTGAAGATTATTGGCTTATATATAGGTAATATTTATATTTATATATATATTCATATAATTTAATTTGTGCCTGAAAAATTTTATTTTTTATTAACAATGTTAATTTCCATTCTCTCCTTCAAAATTAAGCTTGGATCGACATATCTTTGATTGTAAATGATGCATTTATTTCACTTTTATATCAATTATTAAGTGATTCAAAATTAAAAATTTCTGCTTGTGAGTGTTTGGCTGAGGTACATTTGCGTCAATTTTTTTAAGTGAATGTAATATATTTTACTCTTTATTACAAGTTAAACTGATTAATTCATATTTATTTATAATATATATCCATTAAATATATAGATTGTAAGTAAAGGCATGAAGCCAAATGAGAAATTAAAGTTAATTCAAGCTTTAAATATAACAAATGTTATGGGAAGTTTAGATTATGTAAGTAATAATATACCGATTAAGATAATCAAATGACAATTAAGAATTTTCAAAAAAATAATTAATTTATATACTATTAAATTATATCTAAAAAAAAGTCCGATGATATAGTATTTGTAGAACATGTTGCAAGGCTAACCAATGTTTTAGGTGTAGAATTGTGTAAAATATGGGAGGGTGTAAGTTAAATATGTATATATATATATTTATTAATACATCAAAGTTACTAATTATTATTATTATTATATATAGGCAGATCAAGAAACAAGAAATGTTGCATATAATCAGATAGAATATTTACTTGAATTTTTATTAAAGTTTCTTGCAGATGAATATGATGATACTTCATCTGCTGTTTTTCCTTTTGTAACTGCATTTCAATCATTAGTAAGCTTTTCATGATTATTTATATCTTGTCCTTTTTTTATAAATAATAATCATAATAATAATATTTTTCTAAAGTTAAAAAGACAAAAAAAAATAGCAGGTGAACTTACTGGTGAACAAAGAGAGTTTCTAGCTTCTTTGTTAAAAGTCGTTATTATAAAGATGAAATATGATGAATCAACTGATTGGAATGGAACGGATGAAGAAGCTGAGGAAGAAGCCGAATTTTTAGAAATGCGAAAAGTACATGATTAATTTTCATTCGATTTTTAAATATTTACGAATTTATTATTATATTTATTCTTTAAAATTTTCGCTAACCTTTTATTTATTACAGTTCCTGAAACAATTTTTTGATGTAATTCATAATATAGATGAGCAAATATTTACTACATTTGTTCATTCAGCCATAATTAATACTTTTGAAAATTATCAAAAAATTGGTAACGAGTTTGATTGGAGAGACTTAGAGTTGAGTTTACATGTGTTACTTTTATATGGCGAGGCTCTTAAAGGATCAATGTCATTTGTGTTAAAGCAAAACAATGAAGTTGTTGCTTTGTCTCCTTTAGGTGAAATGATTCTTAAAATGTTTCAGTGTAGTAAGTAAAAAAAGTCAATTTTAATGTTTTATCAATCTCAAACTTGTGTAAATTTTATATATTTATTTTATTTATAAATGCCTATTTTAGACGTTTTTACATATCCACATCCATCAACCGCTTTGATTTTTTTTGAAATTGTTGTTCGTTACTATCAATTCTTTGAAGTTCAACCCGAATATATTCCAATAGTTTTAGAAGCATTTATTGATACGCGTGGTTTACATAGTATTAACTTACAAATTCGTTCCAGATCTTGGTATCTTTTCTATAAATTTGTTAAATCACTCAAATCGAAAATGAGTAATTATGTGGAAACAGTTTTGAGTAGTATTCAGGTAAACAATTTTAAATACATGTATATTTATATTTATTATATTTACTAATTTTTTTTTATTTTTTTAATAACAAATTAGGATTTATTAATAATTCAATTAGATCCAGCTATAACTGATGCAGCTGGCGAAATTTTATTAGCTAAAGAAGAGGCTATGGATAATACATTTACTAATCAATTATATTTATTTGAAACTGTTGGAATACTGATTACAATTGATTCTGTTCCTATTGAAATTCAAATGGAATATTTAAAGGTATTTATTTAAAACTCTGCAGTTTTTTATTTTATAAATATTTCTTCTTACTTTTTATATTATTTTTTGACAGGCTATCGTTGGTCCTTTACTTGCTGAATTACAGCAAAACCTTGAAACAGGTTCAACAGATGTGCGTACAATTATCCAAATACATCATTTAATGATGGCAATTGGCAGCATAGCAAAAGGTTAGTGTATAATATTTTACAATTTATTTTTTTCGATAAAATCGATAAATTAAAATATTTATTTGTTGAATTTTAGGATTTCCTGAGGCGTCAAAAGGTGTGGCACAAACGGCCCCTTGGATTGATTTTATGAAACAAACAACTGAAGCTATTTTAGTGGTTTTGAAAACTCTTAGTAATTTTGAAATTATTCGAGATTCTGTAAGTTTTTGCTTAATAATTATTTCTGATTTTTTTATTGACAACCTAAAAACCTATATATAATATAATACTTATATTTGAAAAATAAAGGCAAGATATGCTTTTGCAAGGCTTGTGAATGTCCTTGGTATAGAAATATTGCCATATCTTCCACCTTTAATTGACGGATTGTTGAATGAAAGTGGAATTTCAGAACTTGGAGATTTCCTACCATTTATTGGATTAATCTCACATAAATTCAAAGTATTGTTTTCTATCATTATCATCATCATCATCATTATTATTTCGACTTATATAATTTTATTATTTTATTTTATTTAGCCAGTTATTTTTGATATTTTAAATGAATTAATTAATCCATTGTTCAGAAAAGTTTTTCTTGTTTTAAATCAAGCACCATCCGGGACTGATGAAACTATTTTATTTGTAGTTCTTCGAAAAGCATATTTAAATTTTATTTTAGGATTATTAAATGGCGGAATGGATCAAGTTTTGATAAGTGAATGTAAGTATTATTCTGATCTTTTATATAATTGATTTATGGGGTTAGGAAAAATATTAATATTTATTTTTTATTATTTTCAAAAAAAAAAAAAGTGAATAAACCCAATTTAGAAAATATACTTCAAAGTGTGATCCACTATGCTAGTGATACATCAGAAATTAGTTCTCTTAAAATTTCATTTAATATTTTATCAAGGGCTATAAGTTTATGGGGTGTTAATCCATCACAAATAACTCAAGATATCACTACCACCGCCACTGTTACAACCACCAACAATTCTTCTAATGATGCCTTTTCTAGAACTTTAGAATCTCAACCTTTACCTGGGTTTGAACGTTTTATGTATGAACACATATTGCGTGTTTGTTTTGAACTTCCGATGAAACAATCATTCGATGTTGCTGATGGTCAATCATCAGTGGTAAATTTTATTTTCATTAGTTTGATTTGTCAAAAAAAAAAAAATAGTAACTATTTTCTCTTTCTATAAATAAATGTAGGTTTTAGGCGAAATCTCAAACATGATTAAAACTATGTATACACTGAGAGGCAATGAATTTCTTGAATATACAAGGAACATTTGGTTGCGACAAGATCTTGCTGATGAATTCTTGCAAGCTTTACAACAATTAGATCAAAAAGCTTTTAAAAAATATTTTACGGTATAGATATTTTATTAATTGTGGCAAATATATATATGTAAATATAAATATAAATATATTACAACTACTAATTTTTTTCCTTTTTGAACTAAACAATTATATAAAATAATCCAGACTTTTGTTCAAAGGGCAAAGTCATGATAAATGCCTTTTTTTTATGGTAATTAATTAATTATATTATTATTCTGTATTTTATAATGGAGAAAAAAAAGTTCTATTGTTTTTTATTAATAAATTGAAACAGACAATTTTTAATTTAATTCATATAATTTTATTATTATTTTTAATAATAATAAAAAACTTAATTTAAAGTTTATTTAATCACAAGATATGTATATGATGTGTGTGTAAAATAAACATATAATACAATGATTTACAGCTACCTAACGACGGCAGCAACATTATATTAATATGAACTGTAAACAAAAGTTCACAGCTCCTGATACTACAAATTTATACCGAGGTAATGGGATCAAAGACCATTTATCTCCACGTAGTTCTTCCGTCATTATTCCCCCTCATAAATGATTACCATTATTCGAATTTAAAAATAGTAACAAATAAAGCCACGACAGATGTTTGTTACGTGAAGCGCCGATGTTCCGATTCCACAAAGCTGTGCGTGTATTCTTACACGTCAAAAGTTTTCAAATATCATCTGCAACAGCAAGAACAAAATTATGGAATGTCCTAAATTCGTCATATTTCCTAGCCAAACGTGCTTTTTTCAATTGTACAAAGAGCTCTTTTTTAGGTCCAGATGGATTTCCACGGCTACTGGATGAGAAAAATCATCTACATATACTATACAGTTCCTGGTGATTTATTTGTAACAATTTCACGGTAAGCCTTTTGTTTATATGTTTTAAAACGAAGGTGGCGCCAGCACCTATTACCATGAAATACAAGAAACGTTGGGAGATGTCCAAGAACATAATGTAAATAAGTTTGTATTGAGGCAGATGAAGTTGGAAGACCTGATGAAATGTTCCAAGATAAAATTAGACTTGTCAGAAATAAGAAGGATAGAAAGTAGTTTGACATTAAGTTTTTGGTTCTTTTATATCAACAACTTAGCTAACCACTTATTATTATCCTTTTCGCTGGTATCCGGAAAACAGTAACATATATTCTACGCACAATTCACGTGCAAATTGTATGTATATTGTGTGTTCGCCCTCTACAATTGTGTAGAATATTTGTTACTAGTTTTCTTGATGTATACTATAGCATCACGTACGTGGTGTTGGTTGTAGTCTTGAAGGCTTTCTAGATTTACCGATTGCGGCAGGATAAATAAATTTCTTGCACCATAATCTAACCTTGGAACTGGCACATTATTTTCAACACAATATCTAATTAGTGTTTGTGCAAGTCGTGATGTTTCAACTGCAATTGATGTCATTCTTTCAACCACAAGAAAAGAATTAAATGCATCTTTACAGTTGCGTCAACACAACTGATAATGATCTGCTTTTTACAAAGTAACTTGGGTATTTGCACTTCTTGGATGTTGACCTTGAATGACCTTCTTGTTTACACACATAGGCACATATTTAAGACATTAATAACCTGTGTCGATGAACATCATAAAAGATCATTGACTGATTTAGTTTTTATTTGCCTTTTTGCCTACAGTGTCGTTTGTTTTTTTTTTTCGTTCTCATGTGTTTGCAGTAGTTATGATTCCATGGGTATTTTGAAAATTATGTTATATTTATCACGGTTGAGTTGAAGATAATTATATAGAGTATTATAATGATATAGAAGATTGACTATATAAGATGATGATAGAATGAAATATAGAAAAGTTGAGATTTGAATTTGAGTGAATTATCAAAGACAAAAAATAATTGACCCTAAAGTAAAAAAAGTTAATTAAGCGATCAAATTTTTTGACAAATCAACAACATTCAGATCAATATCTCCTTACATTCTAAACTACATAAAGAACTGATTAAAAAAATCGTAACAATTAAGCGAGGTATAAAAAAAAAGTGAGTATAACGTAAAAAATTTTTTTTTTCAAGGATTGGACAAAATCATATTTAATAGAAATTGTCGAGAGCAACGTAATAAATAGTGTTTTAAAAGATCTAATAACTTTACAAATTCTGACAAGATATCAGGTAATATCGTTATTATTATTTCGTTTTTGTCGCAAATTTTGTCAATTAATATGTTTTGAGCTTTGACAAATTTTTTAATAACACATCTTTGATGACATTTTTAAACAACTCAGTCAAAAATAACAAACTCTCTCGAAGAAGGATCACTGCCACATATCAGGTAGATATTAAAAAAGTAATTCTGGCTCTGACTCGTTTGATTCATGCACCGAAACTGATTCTCCCGAAGAAAAGTATGCACAATATGCAGTGTTTAGAAAAGCAAATGTATAATCGAAAGATTTTAATTGTTTGTTTCAACGGTTCCATGAAAAAGAATAAGAAATGTATAGAAATCCAGAAATCAGAAATTACCCTAGTCATGTTTGTGAACTCAATCGGAATATTAATTTATAATCTCATTATTATTATGTCAATTGGATTAATGATCACTATAATTTGAAAATATTTATGAACTTTAGTAATAGTACTAGTATCTTGAAGGCACCATTGTGAAATTTTTTCGAACTAAACTTTACGGAGCCACATGAAAAAGACAGGACAGGAAAATTTTGCAGACCTTGTGCCTTGTTCCTTCCAGCATCCCATTTTTACGCAATTATTACGAGAGGGTGGAAACGGTTCGTTTCAGTTTATGAACTACCAGTTTGGCTAGTAAACCCACGGTTTAACTAGAGTTTAAACCGTGGTTTTATAGTTTTATATTGCAATAATAGCCATTTATAAAAAATTTATAATATAAAACTATTCCCTATGAAAAATAAAGGAAAGCTATATCTTTTCTGTTTTACTGTACGGAAAACACCCAGAATTTTACATGAAAAGAGTGATTTTCCATAAAATATAATCACAACATATAGATTTTCTTTGCTGGTTGTAATAAATTTTGTAGCAGTTATTCTACTATCAACTTTTATCGTGTAATGAAAATTCTTGATCCAAATAATGAATGAATACTATTGTGGTGAATTGTTTGTTACACGTCATTCAATTCTTCGCAAAGAATTGTGAATAAATAAATGGAATTACTGTTATTCTCAAAAAAATTTATTTTTCAATAAAACACTAGATTAATCAAGTCAATTTTAAATTTCATAAAACATTTATTTTTATATAATGTCACATAATAAACTTTTATCATCGTTATCATCAGAAAGGGAGAATTTTGTATTTAGAATTGACAATGAAATGCGTAATAATGCCAATGCTAATTCTGATAGAGAAAGTAGAAAAGACTATTATTTTTCATTAGTCAACAAAAACAAGGAGCTTTCTGAAAATGAAAAAGAGTATTGTAAGGAAAATTTTATTTATGACTCTGAATTACAGAATGCAACATATAAATCAGGCAAACCAAAAGAATGTTACAAGTGTAAATTGACAAGATACTCTGATAGGTTCTGTGAAGGTTGTATTAGTTTACAATTACAGAGTCTTTTCACC